CTGCTGTTTAATCCTGCAAGTGTTTCAGGCATCTTAAAAGCCTTAATTTCTTCCCAAAAAGCACATACAGAAATGCCTACACAGTGGTGCTACTTGGCTGCTCAAATTGTGGAAGTGAGTCTGTGAATTATCAGTAGCCAAATGCAGAACATGAGACTGATATTTGACAACACTGACCCAGGGTAAGAATTCCATGAGCTTACGGAGAAGAGAGTTATATATCATCTTTACAAGATTCAGGAAGCTGCATTTTCCTCCTGAAATGTGTATATCAAAAAGATAAAAACCATAACCTTCGTAATTGTTTCAAAAATAGTTTTAACTATTAAATGGGCAGACTTGCTTTCTTGAAGCCATTTATATCACTACTTTCTCAGCAGTAGGTTTATGAACATCTTTTTGTAACTCATCACTTCACATATATGAATGAATATAGGCTTGTAACCCTCCTCATGCAAGGGAATACTTTTATCTGGGTTTTATAAATGGGGAACTGAACCACAGAGATATGAATCAACATGCAGGCGAGTGAACATTAGCACTTTCTGGATGATGTGTTTGGAAGAATTGTAATTTGCCAGCCTTACGTACCATATTTTCAAGTAGATAACTGGTTGTAGCATGTTGTGCTAAGTTGTGCTTAGAATGCAGCTAAAGAGTTTCTCACTACTGTGCTATGGGAATACATGGATTTGATAAGACTCTTGGCATAAATATACACAAATAGGAGAGAAACTGCGGAACTCATATAAGAAGTGAATAAGGTAATTGTAATTGACATTGATAGAACTGAAAAAAATAATGAATGAACTTACTATTGTGATCTAAAGTTCTTGAGATTTAATCTATGTTTCTAAGAAATCACACTGTTATCATAGTGCCAGGCAAATGGCAACATGATGATAAGACCCAGCATTGACAAAATTCAGCCCTCTCTGTGTTAACTGTCCTGCTATTTCCATGCGCCTCCCCCTCCTGCCCTCTGCACTCTGAACCATTAGGTTTTAAAGAGCTGCTAATTTTTATTGCACCTACCCCAAAGCCCTGGCTTTCAACATTTTGGCTTACAGAAGAATCAAACAGAAAGCCAAAAGGAAAGTAGAAAGTTGCAATTTTTGTTTTAACAAGGAAGCATCACAAAGCAAGGTAATCTCTGAGGTTTACTGCTATTTTTTGTTCAATTTTTAAAAAGATTACGCTTTAGAACAGGGATCAGTACTTCAATCTTCAGTAATTTGATTTTATATCAAGATATTTATAAGAAAATGGTCAAAATAAATTTGCTACTGATATACCTTCAAAAATCAAACATTAAAGAAGGGACAGAACATTAGAGAAAACAAATAGGCTTGGCTTCAAATAGCATAGCAAGGACTCTGAATATCCAAGGAATGAGCAGGAAGTTTGCAAGCTCATTTCACATTCAGTATTCCTTTGGTAACTCTGGACGCCTGAAGGCTCACTTCAGCAACTGCACATTTATCTTATTTTTTAATTAAATCTAATATAGTTATTGTATGTTGTAAACGACCAAAAAGGAAATGTTAGCATCTAAAAATCATTCATCTACCATCTGTGTTGCCAGAATTTTTATCTTGAAATGTGGAATGATGAAAGAATAATTCACATGATATAAATGTGATAGAGTGCACTGAACCACTTCCAGTGGGATTACTCACAGCACGCAAAAGTTTAACCCATGCTTAAGGCCCTAGATTTCAGCCACAAATCCTGTTCATTTGCTTTGGAATGAGTGGAACTGTTCAGCTAAATGACCTAGATTTACTGTAATCTTTGGAGAGCTTTCAATGAAAAGCTGTTCAAATATCAACTACTAACTATTATTTAGAATCATTAACCTAAATCAAAGCTGACAGAAATGAGCACCACTTCAATTTACAAGTCTTATTCTCCTTAAACTGTCCCAGGATGCTGAGGATGGTAATTGTTTTGAAGTTCTTTGTATGTTTGTATGTGGAAGGTATGGTGGAAAGAGATAGGATCAGCCTTAGGGAGTAAATCATTAAAAGAGGAATGAATTGCTCTGGGAGATTAGTGCAAGTTACTCCTCAGTCATTATGCCTTTCAAAGAGGCAATCTTTCCTGACTGAACTCCAAGGGCAATTTCAAATAAGTGGATAGGATTGTTAAACTCCTGCCCTGAAAGAAATTCCAGAGTCCAGCAAATCAATCTGAAAAGTAATAACAGTATATAAAGCATACATGCCTTTTTCCGCGTATGTCAATCTATTGTAAACCTAAACTCATGGCAGCACACCACTACATGACAATCCCAGCCTTCATTTGTAAAAATTCAGTAGTATTTGTGAGAGCAGAGTTTTTGAAAAAATGACACCTAAAATTATTTTCAAAACAATGGCGAGAAATAGATGGCAAACCAATAGAATGCCTGAGACCTCTGAACACAACCTTGTAGAGGGGTCAACCAGTTATTGCAGAAAAGCTGGTATTTCACAATACTGCAAACGATATATTAAAAGTATTCTTTGAGCATGAGTGTAATAGATTTCCTTCTGACTTTTTCCTCACAACCTTGCATGAATTTAGTGACATTTATTTAGTTAGAGCAAAGCAAATTCTAGAGAATAATTTTTTTTTTAAATTAGATCACAATAAACTTGCTTCAAATTTAAAAAAGAACTTAGTTCATTAAACTTAGTTTAAATTCACGTATGAAATTCATATACAAAATTCTACACAATCACTCATTTTTATGAATGATTAATTTTCTAAATTAATAATAAATATATTATTGCATAGCTGTATGAGTATTCCTAGACTCACCTACCAAGACACTAACGGTATTGTTCAGATAAACCAATCAATCTTGACAATCAAGTTAAAAATATTACCTTTCAGATCAATTCCTTATTTATTATAGGGATTGTATTTTGTTGACCATATAGCTCTGAATTTAAGTCACTAACTGCTCCTGACTCATGACACTGCAAGTATATTTTACGATAATGTGAGAGCAGAGGGAGAGCAGAGGGAGAGCAGAGGGAGAGCAGAGGGAGAGCAGAGGGAGAGCAGAGGGAGAGCAGCCCTCAAGTGAGAAATTTTTGCCCCAGAGAGCACTTCATAGCAGGGCCTGTGATAAATCCACCACCCAATGCCACGGTAAAGTGCTCAGTTAATGAAGAGAGGTCAAGCAGGGAAATGGAAGACAAGAGTAGAAAGGTGTTGATCGTCTGTAAATGACTTGCTGCAGGGTTAAAGCAGTGTTAAAACCCCGAAAGTGAGGTACACCAAATTTTTCTTGGTTGACGAGCAAAGGATTGGTTTTACTTTCAGTTCTGTATTTCACCAAAACACCTCTGTCAAACTAATTCTTCTGTACATACATTGTAGCGTAAAAGTTCTAGCAAAGGAATTTCACTTACAAAGAAAGGTGTGAAATACAGGCAGACCAGAGGGGGAAAAATGAAGTTTATTAGGTAAGCAAAGACTTTTTTTTTAATAATAAAAACCCCAGTCTTGAGAATATTTGCTACTGCATATGGAAAATGAAATTTATGAATTTTGTTATATTCTTGTATTTTACACATTTCTTTTACATTTTTTTCCCAATAGTCATTTAAAAGTGGGGGATTTATTCTTCCATAATACTTGTGTTGCATGTAGGAACGGTTTTATTTCCTTTCCCCTCATATGATACAAAACAATGTGTAGTTATAATTAAGTTTCACTAACTTCATACTGTAATTTAATAAGCTTTTTGTGGGGTCATTATTCATATATCTTAATCTTTGTATTGTAGATTTCTTTTAAGTTTGGCATTACCTTTACAAGCACTGCAGTGTAAGAGTGGTAAGACATAGCCTTTATTTCCTGTTTTGACTTTTACGGGTGCTGGTTCTTTCAAGTAAAGAAAATCTTAAAGGCTCTTCCTTCTCCCTCCTCTAAATAACTAGTGTAAAAATAACTACATTAGCACTCTCAGCTTTCAGACACCTTTATGCATGAATGGAGTTGCTCTTATGCCTAGCATTACCCATATGCTTGTAGGGTCACTTTGGCTTCTCTTACGGAGCCAGACTGTGGCATGATGAAGGATGCCTGAGATTCATATGGAGGTTCAGAGGGAGGGAGACCTGGTTATAGGGGTCCATCTGCTGTATGTTCAGGATCCAGAGCATAGGCCCTGATCTCTTCTAATTACTTTTCACGTAGATAACAAAATTAACATTACAAAGATTCCAGCGTTTTTTATTTTATCATTGCACCACCTCCTGAACCCTTTTAATAACAACTGGATTGAACAACAAAGCAGAAAAACAAATAGGTAACCTCAGCTATAAAACACCCTTCAGCATCTCTGTCGCTTTCTAAAATAACAACTTTGACACTTCTTACTTTCATGAGAAATAATTTTTCCTGTCAATTACTCTAGCTACTGTTATATGTTAATTCTGCCCTTTAGCTGTTCCCAGAAAGGTGTTACAATCCTTTCTTAATTGATATGTTAAAAGGATGTGAAGGGGGAAACAATTCCCTGATCCAGAAAAATTGGAGCACATCTTTAAACACTTTCAAGGAAATGAATAATCTCATTTCCAAGAGAAAACAAAGAATCCCCTCAGATGTCTTACCTTTCACCGGGTTAACACATGGTTAAGTCGTTCATCAGGGAAGGAAACAATTGATTCTCATGTCCACTATGAAGATGTATCTGCAGGAGAAAAAGGGCACCCAGGTTACATAATAACCTGTTTTCTTGAGGGTGCTTTCTGGTTCGATTTGCTATATGCACAATACTCTGCATTGTTACACACTGACGTACGTATTTTAAAAACATACACACACACACATACGCAACCCTCAACCTACTCAGGGAAACATGCAAACCTCATGACAAAATATTTCACACCAGAGTGTGGTTTCTTTAGCAGTTACTGGGGAGTCCTTGAAACTGTGAAACCTGATGAGTAGGTGTGCAGCCCTCGGCCACACAGTTAGCAAGATCATTTCATGACCACATGGACATTTGTGAGCTCCTAAAGACGTCACAGAAATGGCTGTTAAAATACCCTGCAAAGTACTTGAAACATGTTGGTGGAGAAATGGGAAGTGCTATGCCTTCATTTCTTTACTTAATGTTTGAATTGGTGCAGAAAGCTAAAAATGACTGATGATTAAAAATAAATAAATAAACAAACGTAGGTGTGGATCTGAGCTCAGAAGCTTGCGTCACATCCTTCTCCCTTCAAAGGTAATGTGACAGCTTCAAGGTGTGTCCAGTCAAACACTGAATAGTATATGATCAGAAAAAGACCTTTCGCCTCATGCTCATGATCTTTCAACACAAGGGCAGTTTCAGGAAGAAGCCCGCATATACAGAGCAACTCACTGTGTTTCATACACAGAGTCCAAAAGGCCACGGTCAGACCCTCCAGTCTGTGCCTTGGGAAATGTACTGTCCAAGAACTGCTTATTGCTGCCTAGGAATCCTCTTCTTCACCAAAAATGTTTATTTTTGTTTCTAAAGGAAACAAAAAAAAATGGCAGTAATAGAGATGTCTATCTTGGCCTGCTCTCAGTGCTATTACCGAAGTCTGAGAACTTCACTTGCCACAAGAATATCAAGGGATCTGTGCTGAAAGCTATTGCCATGATTCAGAGAGAATTATTTCCTTTTACATTTCCTAACATTTCCTCCAGATGTCATGGAGAGTGAAAAGAACTGATACTTTTATACTTGATGTAAGACATGTGATACTCTCTTCAACTGCTGCTATACGTGCAGTGCCTTCTCACTAGATATATATGGTACCTGTTCCTCTTCACCGCCTAGAAGCATCTTCCTAAGCATTTCTAAAAATACAGGCTAGTAAAAAGTTTTCTCTTCTTTCCTGTGCAATCTTCCTACCTGTACTTTTTTACTGAGCATCCAGATCAACCTGTCCCAGGAAAATTCTAACGGAGATTATAGTCGCCTGTTTGGCCACTAGAATTTGCTTATCTTTTTCAGACTTTATATCCAGAAAATCAGCTCACAGCAGACCAGACTCTTTTGTAACTCTTGCTGTGTGTTTAAAGAATATACGAAAGGTACCTGGCTGAGTGCCCCTGCGAAGTTTAATCTCTGGTTAAGCTCAGAACAAAAACAAAAGCCTGCAGGCAATGGTATCTGTTACTGAAACAGTAATTAAAACCTAATTTAAGAGGATACTGTTTAATTCAATCCTTGACCTTTTTGAAGCTACTAACAAGTCAGGATAGCTGGGCAGATTCTTTGCAACAAGCAAACAAATCAAACCCAAAAGTATTATGTTTAAACGGGTGGCCCAGCTGTGCACAGCTAAAGCAGGTGTTTATTTGCTCAGCAGTGTGGTTCCTGGAAGAACTTTTTGTTTCTGACTCCAGCCCACAAACTGAACAGGAACTGCTGTCAGAATGGAGGAACCTGCTTCCTGGGGACATTCTGCACATGTCCAAAATATTTTACTGGTAGACACTGCAAATATGATAAACGGATCAGGTGACAGAACTATGGAATGGATTCTTTTCCCTAGAAATAATAAAAAGCTTAACTTTAAGTTACATAACTGGACTTCATAGGATTGTTTCCTAATAACGCAGACTTTGTGGCATGGTGAGGCACGGAGAGTGGACCAAGGACAGCTGTCTGTTCTGCCAGTGCCTCCCGGCCATCCTTCATTGCTTTCCTCACGGCCTGCAAGATGGCTGTGGTAAGAGACATCAGGGTACCCTGCATGACAGGACCCCTTAACCTAGCTCTCCAGTCTTGTTATTCGTGCCTCTGACTATCCCCGAGCCACTTCACCCGCCCAAAATGATGATGAAGTATTCACGGAGATCCCTTTCAGCTGCAGCGAAGGGTTAAATGTGCTTGGGCATCTAGCAAAACTTCCCCCAATCCTGTGATCCAAGGTCAGGTTGCTTCAAAACTGTCACTTATCCCTCCCCACAGAAAAAAGGTGCAAGGACAGGCTCTACTGGTCAGCACTGGTTCCACCAAAGGCCGGCCTGTCACTAGTTACCATAGGGGTTACGAGCTGACAGGCCTCTTCCACATTAGAAACTGTGATGTTTCACCTGTTGTAGTAGCAGATAAACTCTTCAGAAACAAGTGTAGCCTTTCCAGCCTACAGGTTACTCCTTTAGATGCAGGTGTGAGGCATATGCAGGGCATAGGTTATACAGTTTTTATTTACCATGTTGGCTTCAGAAAAAAAGTTGAGGTTTTTTTTTCACATTAAATTCAATGTGAAGCTTGAAAGGTTTGAGTAAATAATATTTGGAATTTGTGAAATTTATCCAAAGTGTGAAACTCACCCTCCACAGGAAAGTAAATGGAGAAGAATGCTTCAATTTTCCTACATTCCATGGTGAGTGATTCTAATTTATCAGATCTGCCAGAAGTTTAAAAAGCGATCTAATGAGTAGACACGTGTGTGCATACATATATATATATATATCCATATCTGTATTTATACGTACACACACCAATACACAGTTACATGTATATTTATCTATATATGGTATGCATTTATGCCATATGTTAAAATATAAAATCCACTGGCTTTCTATATCCACACAAAGTCATGTTGATGGCATTTGATTCATGAGCAACTATGAACAGTTCTTTCAGGTTCTTTTCAATATAAATAAAAGTCTTCTAAAGGTATAAACTTATCTACGTTTGTCTGTGAAAAAAAAGTCTTTTCTTTGTTAAACGTTTACCATGTTAAGCTGTTAATGTGAGAACTAAGTAAATAAAAAGGGACAGCATTCTGATTACCAAATTTGCTAATTTACTTAATGGTTTGACCAGGTTAATTGGATTTTGTTAATCTCTTTAGAATGAGTTTTTCTGGTCAGGTTCCCTCCAGGACTTTACTTGCAAAGGGAAGAAAACGCTTGAGCACTTTAGTACTCTGACATTTTTGTTTTACACTAAAACAAATTCCTGAGCCTCTAGAGGGAACATTACCTCCAGCTACTTACTCCATATGCACTTGCAAAGAAAAATATGGCAGTACTTAAAATGCAACATTCTGGTGAATTTCTGAGATTTACATATGAATACTCAGATATTTTCTTTCCTAAGCACCATAAAATCTCATCAGTCATTTCTTAAATGTCCTGAGTGCTGCTGTTTGCTGCTTTTTCAGAACTGTGAACACTGTCTTTAAACACCCTCCACCACTACCTGTTCAGCTGAGGTAGCTTCTGGGAAGCCTGAAAGGAAGTAGTTTAGAGCAATAAAGGACTTGAAACAACCCAGGCAAATCATTCTTGTTTCTGCTTAATTTACAGCTATTTAAATGGAAGTTTTTTGTTTGTTCAGGTCCTACAAAAGAAAACCTGCCTGACTGGATGCAGGCTGGACCGAGGTCTGAAGGACTGAGCCTTCAGCATGAAGCCTACCTTCTTACTGCTCCACCCCTGCTCACTCTGCTTTGGCAGCTCCTCTACATGCACCAGAAAGAACCAAAGCAGTGATGTCCTTATTGACACGGGGGTCTGACTGAGGAGCTTCAGCAGGTCGGCTGCTCCAGAAATGACAGTCTGCAGGGGGTGGGAGGACTGCAGGATACAGCCCTGACTGCCCGCTGCATGACTGCAAGCGTTACAGGACTAGAGGGATGGCACATTTCCTGGGAACCCAAGGAAAGACCAAAAAACCATGTCCCTGTATCTCAAAGCAGCCCTGTTTCCACTGGAAATAGTCCAGTGGAAGAAGAAAATTTGTTTGTAAACATGCTAGACATCTTTATAATTTATTGTTAATTGTTTACCTATTTCAGCTACTGAAAAGATAAAACTGTTTTCATAGTGTTTTGTGCAAAGTGGGTTGATTTTTTTCCAGCTAACTTTCTCTTGAATCATGGTTTTAAAAGTTTGCATCTTCATTATTTTCTGGGTTTTTTTCAGATGTGCAACTATTTCACCTTTATAGTTACTATAGCCATGTGCAAATAAATTTATAGTTCAAAACTAATTCCATCTTTTAGCATGTACCATTTCTTACAGATGATAAGCATATTTATAGGGATTATTGTTCGCTGACCGAATTCTTTTGAAAACGCATCTCCCATATGTAGGGTATTGACACTTTAAAACAAAACTGTCTTCATTTTCAATGTGTACACTCATCGATTACTGTGGTAAACAACTAACTAATCTTCCACTTACTTTTCACTTTAAAGAGCTGCCTGTGTAACTGGAGCTGTGCCAAGAAGATGCACAATATTCAGTCTCATCTTTCTACACTTCGTATGGTTGATCCTCTAGGGAAGAGTCTGGAACTGTTGCAGAGTAGATTTATAACCATGCCCATCGTAACAGAGCTGTTACATCATTGAAGCCAAAGGCTAAAATACACATTCAACAATGGTCGATTGTCATTTATTTATTAAGCCTGGTGCCTTAAAAACAAGCACCAACAAAATGAAAACCTGATTTTTCTCTCAGTCCTAGGAACCTGCTTAGGATGTACATATCACTTTGGTAGAATTCATAATATTGATAGGTAGCTAGACCTTACAGAACATCCCAGGATTTTGATTGTTTTATTAATTCTTAACACATTCGGTGAATGTTTGAGAATCCAAATTCTGCAGATTCTGATTTCTTTACTCCTAAGAAGAGTTTTCCACATGCAAGAGTGGAATCAAGGGAATAATAAGGCCTGTTTGATTACCCTAACATAGGAAGTTTGAGGTATCCCTTTATGGTACCTTAGCTCACAATACACTTCTACACACAGAAGAGCTCCTGGTTTACTGGCCTGTACACAGTCAGCAAGATAGGTATATGAAAAACAGCATATGTTCATGCCCAGCAGGGATGTGTTGCACAAACAGTTGTTTCTCTTTCATATGTCTTCCCTGCGCTGGGAACTTAAGTCAACATAACTGCTTTTGTACAGACCACTGGTAACTCAGTCATTGCCCGCAGTAGGGAAAATGGATTGACATACAGCTCTACCTGCAGGACTGGAGATATTTTACTCCTAATGCAGCCTGGGACAATCTTGCTTAAAAACATGTTAACTAATAGCAATGAAGCTGATTTAATGTCCGTTAATGTGAAGAAATCAAAAATATCTAAACCAACACTTTTTTTCCAAAGAATGTCTGGTTTCCTATATGGCCTAACAGTTTTTATCCGTCCTTCCATGAGGGCAGTCTAATTAAAATTCCTCTAGTCTTTCAAGAAAAGCCAAAGAATTAAGGCACCAGGAGTTCAGAAGTGCACTTTTTTTCCACCCAGTTAGATTTGTGATGGAGTTTCTAAGTATGGGATAGCTTCTGTTTTGAGTCAGCTCTTCAGAAACAGCGTATAAGGCTGCACTTGATTAATCTGCCAGCCATACCTAGCTCTACACTTCCTTTTCTCACCTACACAAACACATAGCAATATCCCCAGTCTGACTGGCTTAATAACTAATCGGCTTTCCTCTAGCCTAGATAAATCACCCCATAAGTCAGCCCATAAACCCTCAGTTGGTCATCTCTGTTTTACTATGTTGTTGAAGCAGGATAATAAACTGAGACACAGTTCTGATAATGGCAGAAATGTGTGTTAATCTGTCAATAAGCCAATCTATCCCTTTTAGCCTCCAGACTTCATAGTAAGGCTCCAGCACTTAAGGGGATACATTTCATGTGCATTTTTTCTCATCCCTCCACAAATAAATTGAGAAAACAACCAGAACACTAATTCTCCACTTAGTATCCTTTATACGTAGATCTGGGGAAAGCCATCCAGTAGAGCCCAGTTTAATTCTGGTATTTCTCTCTTCACAAAAAGAAAATCAGAACTATCAAACAGATAGCGAGGAAAAGTGCTACCTATCTTAGTTATAATTAAATTAGATTAAACACGTTATTTCACTGTACACATTATCCCATTGCAGAAGTGATCATTAGTTTTCATTAGGTAGCGCAAGGGGAGATGGGACAGGAGTGCACAACACTGGGAAGTGTTAGTCAAAAGGCAGCAAATATTTGTACTTCTGCTTTTCTAATGAAATCTGCTCATTACTACTGCTCCTCACTAACATTTAAATTACTTGGGTGACTTTTTCCATTCTTTCAAAACACAGTTTCTTTCTTTTATTCATTAGCTCACTTTAAGTATTAACTATATTGAAATACAGCAGAGTTTTCATTTTCTCCCATCCTTATTCTTTTCCCTCTGCCCACCTTTACGGAACTGTGAGAAAACGTAAATTTCACTAAAGTAGTCATAATTAAAGACTTTTCTCCTTAGCCAGAAATAACTGACTCTTTTCTGCTTCTTTCTCAGGGAAGCACTGAGGACTTTTTGCTTCTGTAGCTCGCCATGCCCCTACACAGGGCTAGACAAACAGCAGACGCAAATCTGGATCTGGACGACGAATACACTTGCTTGCGCCTTGCCAAGGCCCTAGATATGTGCGGTCTCCTGCTTTCTCTAAGGAAGCTGTTGCAGCATGTTGCCATAATTTTCAGGCGCAAAGGTATCCTGAAGCACCTGGTTTGCTCAGTGGACCTAGCTCAGACACACTGCCAAATTGAGCTTGGTAAAATTATTCTGCAGCCTTCAGGAGAAATTAAATAGCCATGTTCAAGAGTCAGAGTGCTATCTGGTCAGACAGCATGCTCTGCATCACAGATGCTGCCTGGTTATGGATATGGTGCTGGCAACTGTACACAAGTCTGTGTGTTGCTGTCATGTATAGAGAGCTTCCTCTTCCCCGAAGGGAATAGGATCAGCTGCCAAGCAGCCTGAGGATGTTGTGAATCACCTGAATAGGGACAGAGTATTTCTGGCTGGGTCAAGCCCTTCTCCTAACGTTATAAACATATGAATTCATATCAGAAAATACACTGGAGCTATCATCAGACAAGCTGTCTAGATAGTGCCCATCCCAGCTGCCATACCGTGAAACAGCAGAAATTTTGGCCAGAAATAGTGCCACTGTGAGATAAAATGTGTAACACTTTCTTCTGTGAAAAGGGGTTGTGAACTAAAAGGTTCTTGGTGTCCTTTATGAACTTAACATTAAAGGCAGTCTGGGAAGGTCATCTGAGAAGCCACACTTAGAAGTCAGGTCTCCTATCAGATTTTTATTGCATGTCTGTTAACAGCTGCCAAGTGCTACAGCCCATCACATTTCAAACCCCCGTCTTCTGCAAGTCCAGCCATGAAGAGGGCAGCTAATTCCCTGTGCTGGGAGATACTTCATGTTTTTCTTTGTGTAGCTACACTTCTGATTTCAGAACGAATTCGCATGTTGTTGTAGTGCAGCTCAGGCAGGGCACTGATTTATATGTTCAGCCTAAAATCACAGCCCAGACACACAGTTTCCGTGCTCAAAATGTCTATGTCCTTCAGC